TCTACTGGCCCAGAGAGGCCAGGGAAAGTGGTTGTGACCCATGAAGTAGGGACAAGGAGAAAAACATATCCTCAAGGAAGGGAAAACATCACCCAAGGTGATGAGGCAGGAGGGTTGTTTGAGAAAAAATTAAGCCAAGTGAAAAGCTTTCACTGGAGTGAACACTGTGCTCTTGGAAAGTCACTCCATGCCCTTGGAAAAGGCTGACAACAAGCGGCCAGGTGGTGGTGCAGGAAAGGGCAGACAAGAAAATAATGAGAATCGCTCACTTTCTTTACCAGATGACACGCAGACACTTTCATAGAGAGTTCTTGCTAAAGATGAGCTTTCTGTATTCATAAACTATGAATGAAGTCTTAAAAAAATCCATTATGAGGAAGAAAATATAATCTTTGATATTTTTACTAATACTATCCCTCTAAAAATTTTTCCCAAATCATTGATTTCTCCAGCAGCATCTCCTGTTATGCAAACCCCAGAGCAGACAGTCAAGGGAGAAATGGGACAAATTGAAATGAAGGTTCTTGCAGCTCTGGAATCAAGTGTATAACGTAATATGATGTGATCTATTAAATGTAGGTTTATTATATACTAAATCGCTCTTTTATCAACATGAAATTCCCACTAGCCCTTGAAGAAAAACTGTTCCTACACAAAAGTGTTCAACTGCAGTTTGAACACTGTGGAAGGAGAAAGTGTAAGTCACAGTAGAATTTAATTACTAAGTCTAAGTGGCAGAAATCTTATTAACATGAATATTATAAGGACTCAAAATACTATGCATGTTATGACTGCTCTCAGTAAAGGCAAGAAAGATATATTTAAAAATACATTTCAACATCCAAGGAGCATAATGAAAAAAGAGTACTAGTCATGTCGGCCAACTATTTATTTAAATTTAATTACAGTTCCTGTCTTCAGTAATTATTTTCTGTGAAATCTAAGGTTCCCTATGAGATATTCAGATATAAACTACAAGTAATCATTTAATATATCAGGAATATAACCTTTAACTGTAACAAATATGATCACCCAGAAATATGCAATCAGTTTTTATTATATAAATTTATATTAAAATTAATTACAGTATATATTTATCATAGAAAATTGAATTTGCTAAATGACATTTTGAACGAGCTCATCATTCTTGTGGTAACTAAACTCCCTATCTTTACACAGAGTAGGTGTGTTTCTAAATCAGAAAGACTGCTCAAAACGAAATACACTAAAACATTCCAGCCCAAACCCAACACAGGCCCACAGCCTGGCATAACCGCCAGCACTGGAAAAAATCAAAGGACTAATTCCCAGCCAATTATACTGACCAACACTATTCTTACAGAGGGAGAATTTAGGACTTTCTCAAGCTCAGGAGATTACCTAAGAGCGCAACCAGTTATGGGAAGCAAAGGAAAATAAACCGCCAAAGAAATTCTAGACAGTGGTGAGAAAAAGGTAGAAAAATTCACTCCTGAATTTGAGAAGAACTGACAACATGCAAATAAGCAATGCTTCAAACAGACAGAGAAGTACCAGCAGTCTCACACACGCACGCGTACGTAGAGAGACAACTGCAGGATGGGCTTGTTCACACTGCTGTGACACATCTATGTTTCAACCAATCTTTGTACACCAATTCACATTTCACTGGATTTCCTCTTTTTAATACTAATAAGTGAAAAAAAAATATATATATATATATATATTTGAGAAAGAAGACAGACTGGCTAGAAGTGGCTAATACTTAACCGAAAAAGTGAGATTGTTGGGTAAGCCATAGATAGGTAGAAAAGAAGAGAGAACTTTCAGAACATCACAGAACGCTAGCACATTTCCAAAATGTCAAAAAGGATCAAATTTATTTTTTAACAAACTCAAGGGAAGGAATTAATATATCCTGTAACCTGTGTGGCAAAGTTAAAACTGAAGGAATCCATTGAAGTTCTGGGAAAAGAAAGTAAGGATGCAGGTGGTTATGTTATGTTATGTTATGTTTTCACAGAAAATACCTTTTGACTATATCTTCTCCACTCCAGCACGGCCGTCCATCACCAGCTGCTAATTCATTAACGCAGAGCTGATCAGCCAGGCCGCCGTAGAACGTTCTGTACAGTCGAAGGCTGTTGATAAATTCTCTGAGTGGAAAAACAAGGAAAACAATTAAAACCAGAAATCCATCATACATGCCAACAGAAATGGCATGATTTGTTATGCATGATGTTTACAATGCAGCTTTTTCATTTTTCTCTACTTATTTTCATATATTTAATACTTTACTAACAACTGAGACAAAAATTACACTTAAAATTATATTCGGATTTATTCTTTTAAATAGAAGTTTTCAGTGGATATGAATTCTATATGACTCCAGGTTCAAGAAGTTGTGAATGGTATACACACAAACCCCACTTTGGCATCCCTAAAAGCCCTCATTAGCTACTGGCATCTAAACCACTTTCTTTTCCATATAGAAATATCAGAGGCTTAGAACAAGCTGATCGATTGCTTACTGATTAAAAGGTTAGTAGACTTGTGTGATTTTTCCATCTTGGGACTTCTCTTTGGTGTCTAAGAACATAAAGTAATATGTCTTTACTAAATATGAGAGAACTCAGATATGTAATGTATTTCAGAAGCATGAACAAAAAAGTTATTGGAAGGAGTAATATTTAACACATTGAGTTTTTTTCCCTCCCTCTCATACTACTTCCCCTTCCACTGTCAATTATTGGAAAGGAAAATTCAACAAAGAAAGTTTTTTTTTTCTTTTCATTTTACCAAAAGAGAAAGGAGTGGGGCATAAATTAGGAGTTTGGGATTAACAAATACACACTAATATATATAAAATAGATAAACAACAAAGGCCTACTGCATAGCACAGGGAACTATATCTAATATCCTATAATAACCTAAAGTGGAAAAGAATCTGAAAGAGAATATATATACTTATGTATATGTATAACTGAATCACTTCACTGTGTACCTGAAATTAACAAAACATCATAAATCAACTATACTTCAATTTTAAAAAGCAGTTTGTTTTTAATTTAGAAAGCCAAGACTTTTAAGTTTTAAAACCAAGGCTTTGAGGTCCCAAGAACTTGAGTTGTAGCATTTCAAAAGACCAAGTCCTATTTAGTTCTGATGTTTCTATATAAACAAGTGTTTTTGGGGAAAAAATGAAGTCACTAGCCTGATCCAGAGAAAACACCCCCTGGACTAGAAGGAAGGGACAGAAGAAGGAAATGCTGGAAGGAAAGCAAATTTCAGAAATTCAGGAATGAGTGATTAAAATGTAGCAATCTGTGAGGGGGAGAGTATAGCTCAGTGGTAGAATGTATTATGCACAAGGTCCTAGGTTCAATCCCCAGTACCACCACTTAAATACATACACCTAATTATCTCCCCCAATCAAAAAAAAACAAAACAAAAACAAAAACAAAAAAAAACTCTAACACAAAATGTAACAACTACAAAACTGCATTCTCTACTGATATTTTTAAAATAATTTTTCTTTAAAATTGATAACAAAGAGAAGGGATGGCTCTAAATTATAGCTGGAATAACCAAATTTTTACAAATTAAATCTGATTTTGACAGCACTGAGGCTCAACTCTATCAATTCATAATTCTCTTATTGATTTTCAAAGAATAGTGGAAATTGCTGAAGTTATAAATAACTACTAATCTGTAACTTTAAAATATGTAAGATCTACAAGCATAGAGAAGATCAGAAGTTACCATGGCAAATGTTTGGTGAGTATTTAATCAAATTTTTAGCAAAGTTGACCGGACAAGTGATAACAAAAGAGTAGCAGGAAGCATAAGTCTCTAGCTCATGCTCAATCAACAAAAAATTACGCTTTATTTTCTCACTAGCAAAGTTCAATGCTTATCTATACTTTATTGATTTCCCCTAGAAAATAAGTCTCTCCATGATGGCAACGTCCCTACTAATGGGCATACATGAACAGATACCATTTCTCATCCTGTGGCTACAACATAATTGATAAAACCAACTGGTTCTTTCCTAGAAAGGTGGGATTTTAATGAACAGAAAGATGTGTGACAAGTCCTGAATTCTGCTCACTATAAATGACCACCTGTTTGGAATCAAAGAATCTTCTAGAAATGAAGAGGCCTGGCACAAGTGGCTGCAAATGTTGAGACCTCCAAATTGATTGCGTAGAACTGAATAGTTCAATTTTTGGCCCCCAAACCTACTTCAATCTCAGTAAACGGTGCCCTCGTCTTATTTCTCCCTTCAAAACCAACAGCTCATAATGTGCAAAAGCTTTACATCTTTCTTTTCCAGCCCCCATTCCCAATGCTACTGCCACTACCTTAGCTCAAGCTTTGATCGTCTTTTTCTGGAATTACTGCACCAGGAGGACATACCTCCAAACTGTTCCTTAACAATCACTTCCCATCCTCCATGAGAGCCACCTTTTAAAATTCAAATCTGATGGTCCACAGATCATGTCACCCACTTGCTCAAAGCCATCAACGGCTCCCTATTCTCTACAGCATGAAATCCAGTCTTCCTGGAAAGGTATATAAGGTATATATTTCTCTCCTCTCTCATTTCAATTTCAGCCATGACCCAAACTCTACTTTAGGGTTCCACAAAAGTGAGATGCTTGCTGTTCCCCAGGCATACCTCCACGGCTCTGCGTGCGTTCTCTCCAAAAGGACTGTCTACTAGAAGATTTCCGCTCATTCTATAAGCCATCAGCTATCAATTATTTGTCAAAATACTAAACACCATGGAGTATCAAGCTCTGTGTTAGCACTAAGTGTTCACAGCTAAACGAAACAATCCCTGCTTTCTAAGACTGCACATTCTGGTAAAATCTATAATGATAATACAGTGTTAATAAGCAGTAGCACATTCGAGGACAAAGAAGGAATCAGGAAATATGAAGATAACAGTGCAGTGTTCCATGCAAAAGCAAAGAGAGAGAACAATGTGTGTTCAGAGACTCACATGCAGTCAGTGTAGCGAGTGAGGAGGGTGCTTATGGGGATGAGACTTAAAGGTGGGAGGAGGCCAGATTAGTCAGCCTTCTTAATCATCATAAACTGTTTCAGTTTTATTCAGAAGGCAGTGAGAGCCATTAGAAGTTTTCCAGCAAGCAAGTGCTGTCACCATCATCACAGTATCATGGAAATAGAATAGCAGTGAGGTCACTTAGGGGAATGTAACCAAGTTCAGACAAAGAAATACAAGGATGTGGAAAAAAAAAAAAAACCCTCCCAGTGAGTGTCAGGAAACGTGATAGACTTGGAAAACATTAGGAATCTTGAATTGACAGGTAAAGTAAACGTTTTAAGAGAACTTCTAATTGTCTTCCTCCCCTACTCAGATGACTGCGGGAAAGGCTGTGTTATTCACTGAGGTAGGAAATAAAGGAAAGGAAACAGCACCTCTCAGTGTCCCCCGTGATATGAATGATTGCCCTTATTTTGTTCAGTATCTTCATCTTTCCATGGCATAGATCACTTTCTATTCTAGCAGGTAACTTACTTATTTACTATGTTTTACTGTTTCTTATCTACCTCCCACTCAAGGATAAAGGATTCAGGCAGACAGGGATTTTCTTTTTTTTGGTTTGGTTTGTTCACCTCTATAGATCTTAAAGCAGTGGTGAAGTCAGTCCATGGACTCAATAAATAGTTATTAAGTTAATAAATGGGTCATTAGCTTGTTCCCAAATGTCCCAATTCTCTACCTTCTGGGCACAAAGCCCCTTGGAGGTTAGCTTTGATTATGTAACGTGCTCTGGGTCCTAGTAATGTTTGCAGAAGTGACTTTGCCCCCATCAGGCTTAAGCTTTGGGGACCAAAGTGGCTCTGCCAGCTTCTGTTGCCCTCTGCCCTGCTGGAAGGCAATGCAGCTGCTCTTTCGTTCTGAGGCTTAAACTCAGAGCATCATCGACTTGAGCAGCACCCCTGCTGGTCTGAAGTGGGCACAGGTTGTGAACAAAAACAATTTTCTGGTTCTAAACCAGTGGCAGGTTGAGGTCGTTGGCCACCACATCACAACTTGGTCTCGCTCAACTGTTACAAAGATAAGAAAAGCAAATTAATAACTGATGGATCATAAATTCTGGAAAGAAGAGAGAGGATGGACTACTGAAAACAGCATGGCTAGCTTAGGAGCAAATTCTCTGAAACTAAGATAATAGAAGGAATTCTATGTGACTGTTGAGATAAGGTCTGATTTGTGAGGACAGAAATTGAGGAGAGAACCTACTTTGGAACTCTATATTCCATGTTTGGCAGTTTTTAGGTCACAGGAGTTCAGA